GGTCTGCTAAATCGACTCGACATGTCTTSGAGGGAGAAATGAAAGCCAACTGATTTAATTTTTGCTAACTAGGAATGCCTAATATCTTGCAATTCCTTTGACAATTCTAATTTTCTATAGTTTGGCAAGCACATTCTTTAAAAAACAATAGGAAAATAAACAATTTTCAGGAGTAAGTATAAAAAGCTTCTAATGTGACAATTCCAATTTTCAATTAATCATTTAGAAATTCCCTTGATAGTAGTTCAGTCGTTTCATGAAACAATGGCGCCATACAAACAGTTATATTCGACGAATATTTAATAACGGCGACATACGGTGATAATTTTAATCGATGAAATGCAGCAAGATATTCAATTTTTCAAAAACATTAAAATGAGAATTATTATAAAGTTTGATTTCGGCTCGGATCTTTATCACCCGATACAACACGCTCTCTCGTTCTGTATACATTACTAATCCCATTATGAACTTCTGATAGCTTACCTTCTCTCTACCATCCTCTTTGTAAGGTGTCCAGTTTTGTTTGTCATTTGACATGGTTATCTTGTATGTTTTAACATATTCTCCCCATACTCCGCTCTTGCCTGCCTTTGTAGCAATGGCGCACACAAAGTAATCAAATCCAAGATCAATTTGTAGATAATGGTTGTTGTTACTCTGTGGGTCATCTTGACCCCACCCATTTCCACGGGTGTCACCGATTCTCGCAAAATATGGCTTGTATCTGTAATYATATGTGGACGATGCAGTGAAGCTACTATCTGGAATAATACCCCTGGCCTCAATACCAATAGATGTGTCCTCACAACCTAAAATCATAGGAACACGAGAACCACTACGTGGAACTTACCGCGACCAGTTCAATGAAAAGGACATGGCGTAATACAGTCAGCACCGTAGCAGTTATCGATGTGTGCTATATAATAAGATTTTGTGACTTTCAAGATTTTTCGATTTTTTTTGTCTTAAGTTGGAATACTGAAGGTCCTTAAACTATCCTCTGTCGTATGCACCCTTTTAATAAGTCCCGAGGTTTTACGTTCTCCGCACTTGACGTCAAATTTATTCTTTTGAATTCCTTTTGTATTGTAAAAATTTCAAAAGAATAAATTTGACGTCAAGTGCGGAGAAAACAATACCTTGGGACTTATTAAAAGGGTGTATATATTGTTTGTTTATACGTCGAGTGTAATATTTAATTTCCTTCTGATACCTAAGTAATGCTTATGACACCATTTTGTTTGGGTAGGCAAAGTTCCGCAAAACAACAAAGGATACAATGTGAAATCGATGTCAAATATTTCCAGTTGAATTCCTATACTGAACGAATCACTAATTTCAAACGTTAGATACTACGAAAATGACTTAACTGGCGAGTTTTAAAGGACTTAGTTGATCTAGGAGAGAGAGTAAACATATAGATTTCTTTGTAATTTCCGAGGTCATCGGCGCGTGACGCGCGTGAAAAATATTCAAAAAGTATTCGTTCTTGATTGTCGATAGAAGATTCACTTAAAAKTATTCGCTTTTGATTCTCGAWAGAGTGTTCATTCAAAATTATTCGCTCTTGATTCTCGATCTAGAAGATTCACTCATAAGTTTCCGCTCAAACTCAAAATATCCACTCGTATAAAGATGTCGCTAAGAATATTCGTAAAGTTTGGGGGATTTTTCATTCCCAAACAGCAAAAATGATCAGAAGTCTCATCTCCTTGAAAAACCGCCACATACCATATGGTTTTATCTGTGGGAGCAGAGTTGTCCCAGTCGATGTAAACTCGTGGGGAAATCGCCGAGCTCTCGGGTATGAACGTGGAAAAAAAATTGTAATTGCATTTTATAATCGGGAAGTTTTTCATGCCTCAAATAGCAAACATTTTCAGTACTATCATCCCCTTGAACGACCGCCCTCATTTACCTTGTACTTTATATCAGTGGGAGCAAAGTTGCCCCATTCGATGTAAGTCGTGGAGAAATCGGCGAGCGGTCGTTAAAAACCTAACTTGGAAAAAAAATGCGCTTGCAATTTATAACCGTGCCGGACGAGGCCTAGGCGTGGTAAAAAATTAGTGCTAGCTAGTTTCTTAAGTTAGTATATACCGAGAATAAGA